GGCATCGACTGCTTCTCCTTCTCCACCAGGTCCATCGCAGTGCCAACGTTAACGAAGCGGTCCGTCCTCTCGCTGACGGCCCGCCTATTCGACCCGCTGGGCTGGCTGGCACCGACCGTGATCTGGGCAAAGATCCGGTTCCAGTCCACGTGGCTGAAGGGCTTGGACTGGGACGCACCACTGGGCAGCGCCGACGCACAACTGTGGAGCGAGTTCGCCGACGATCTCCCGAGGCTGGAGGAGATCCGCGTCCCGCGGCACATGCTCCTCAGCGCAGCACAATCGCGAGTCGAGCTGCATGGCTTCGCGGACGCGTCCGAGCGGGCCTATGCCGCCGTCGTTTATGCGCGGACGGAGACCTGCAACAGATCGATAAGTATCTCATTAATTTCAGCCAAAACTAAGGTAGCACCATTGAAGACCGTGACTCTACCTTTCTTGGAGCTCTGCGCGGCTTCTCTGCTCACGCGGCTGGCGGCGCGCGTGCGGCGGGTTCTCGGAGCCGAGGACGCGCCCGTGCACCTGTGGGTCCGACTCAACCGTCGCTTTGGGCTGGATTCACGGCCACCCGTCACGCTGGAAGACGTACGTCGCCAACCGGGTCGCCGACATCCAGACTACACTGCCTGGGACCCAATGGCACCACCTCCCGGGGACGGAAAACCCCGCCGACTGCGCATCGCGAGGCATCTCCCCGACTGAGCTGGTCACCCACGCGCTTTGGTGGAAGGGACCTTCCTGGCTGAAGGAGGACCAGACTTTGTGGCCAGACCCCCGCGACGAGAAGCTCGCCAAACAGCTGCGCTGCCACCGCGCCAACGGCAGAGACGGTCGAGCCAGAGGAGCTGACCCGGTTCTCGTCGCTGAGCCGCCTGCTGCGAGTGACCGCCTGGTGCCGGCGATGGAGGCGCAAACCAGAGGCTCAGCGAGCTCCTCCCGCCGCATCAGATAAGCACCAGTCGACGGACACCCTGTCGGCCTCCGAGTGCGACAAAGCTCGCCTCTCATGGATCCGGGTGGTGCAGGCTGAAACATACCACGCTGAATTAAAAGCCCTCGCGCGGGGAGCTCCGCCATCCAACCAAAGCGCCTTTAACAAACTTACCCCATTTGTAGATCCTCGAAGAGTCCTCAGGGTGGGCGGGCGCATCAAGCACGCCCTCTTGGCCTACGATGAGCGACATCCGGTGATCCTGCCATGCTCGTCGCACTTCACACGGCTCACCATCGAGGCCTGTCACCGGCAAACACTGCACGGCGGCGTGCAGCTCACCCTCGGGTCTATCCGACAGCAGTATTGGATACCCCGTGGGCGGCAGCTCGTCAAGGAGGTGATCCGACGGGTGCGTCACCTGCGTCCGATGGCGGGCGGCCTCGCAGCAGCAGATCATGGGAGATCTGCCACGTCTCCAAGTCACGCCGGCGAGGCCGTTCCTGAGCACCGGCGTCGACTACGCCGGTCCCATACAGCTGTGCACAACGAAGGGGCGCGGCCATCGCGCATACAAGGCCTTCATCGCGGTCTTCGTGTGCCTCAGCACGAAGGCCGTACATTTGAAGGTCGTGTCCGATTACTCGGCGGACGCGTTCTTGGCCGCCCTGCGGCGATTTACAGCTCGGCGGGGGCTCTGTCGCAGCCTGCACAGCGACTGCGGCACGAACTTCGTCGGGGCCGACGCACAACTTCGAGCATTCTTCACCGCAAGCAGCTAGGAGCAGCGAAAGATCGCCGACCAGATGGCCAACGAGAGGATAAGGTGGTGCTTCAACCCACCGGCAGCACCCCACTTTGGCGGACTCTGGGAGGCGGCGGTGAAGTCCTTCAAACATCACCTCAGGAGAGTGCTAGGAAAATCGACCCTCACCTATGAGGAGATGAGCACTCTCCTCGCGCAAATCGAGGCTTGTCTCAATTCCAGGCCGCTGCAGGCGATGTCCGACGATCCAGACGACTTGGCGGCATTGACTCCGGGGCACCTCCTCGTGGGATCAGCGTTCAACGCCATCCCAGAGGCCAGCTTCCTGGACGTGCCGATCGGCCGCCTCTCACGCTGGCAACTGCTCCAGAGGATGCGCAACCACTTTTGGAACAGGTGGTCGCAGTAATACCTCCACACGCTGCTCTAACGGCCCAAATGATGGACCACCAACGAGGAAGCGCGCGTCGGGCGACTCTGCCTCATCCGGAGCGACAACGCGCCGCCGACACGATGGCCTCTCGCTCGGATTACGAGCGTACACCCGGGAGCCGACGGACGGACTCGCGTGGTCACCCTCCGCACCGCAGCATCCAAGCTGACGCGCCCCATCGCGAAGATCGTCCTCCTACCGGGGAGCCGCTCCGACGAGCAGGAGAGTGAGGCCGCGCACCGCGCGTGACGAGCAGGAGAGTGAGGCCGCGCATCGCGCGTGACGAGCCCACCCGTCGGGCTGTGAAAAGACAACAGGCCTAAATTAATTATACATAAATATGTACATGCGCTATTTTATGCGAGTGGTATAATTAACACGCGCGCGTGAACAAAATTATATATACCTCCTAGGTACATATACGTGGAACAGATGCAAGTTTCTTTTACCTCATATCAAAAGCCAACGGTAACATCAAATGACAGCTTCTATTTTATCCCTCATGCATTTAATATATAAAGCATATTCTTACTAATTTTGTGTAAATAGCGCACTTCGACAATCGAAACATGTAGGATATCAATTTGTATCTTTGCGGTATATTACCTGGCGTTTTTTGCCGCCTCTCGCGCAGCCGATCAGCTGTGAAATTCCAGCGAGCGCTCACGCGTCTCGCTCCCCGCGTCCACGAGCCAGGCATGGAATTTGGCGTCGCGCGGCTCACGTAAGGCTAGGCGAGCCTCGCGCTGTTTCTCCTGCGCTGGGAAACACAATTAGCGCTACCTACGCGAATAAAATCACTTATACTCACCGAGCACTGGCTCACGCCACGATATCTCCGCCTCGTTTCCGTCTCGTCTCGGCGGACACTCCGATGCACCGTAGCACTCAGACACGCACTGCACAATTCTCGCGTATCGACCACACGTGTCACCGATCGACCACGTGCCGTGGATTATACGCGAGCATCGTGCGTAACTCGCGGCGCCGGTCATTCACGGCCAGTCACAGGGCCGCGCCATGCGGGGGCCCACGGGGCGCTAACCAGCGGCGTGCTATGTTGCCGGAGTTTCGGCGAGGTGGGCGGGATGTTTGAGATTGAGCGTCTCCAACGGGAGCGCTCGAAAATTGGCGCGTTTGCGGCCATCTCGCGCGGCGCACGGCCCGCCGCGAATCAAATCACGCGCAAATAGCGGCGCTCAGCAAATCGCGCCAGGCCCGTTGCATTGTTCGTGCCGTTCAAAGCGGGCCACGCAGCGGTCACCCGAGAGAGCCGAAATTAATAACAAATGCGAATAACAAGTTCTAATTTTCTGAATCATCGCAAACAACAACCGGCGCGATCTTTTGAAACAAACACGTCGAATATTCTAGAAGCAGCAAAAGAACGGTTGTATATAAGCTCTCTCGGGGAACCACCGGGTGCACTCGATCGAGATTTATCCGAGACAGTGTGTGAATATCGTTAAACTGTCGCTAAAGGAAAGTCGCTCGCTTTTCCAATTCGTACTCTCGCTTACGAAACGCGAAGTTTCCGAGTCTAACAAAAGGAGATTCTCGTCGCTCGCGATTAATCTCCCGGAGTTAAAAGCGTCGTTCATTCCGTCGCTCGCGGAATCGCGCCGATTACCATCGCTCATGATATTCACGATACATCCGCCGCTCGCGGAGAGTATCTTTGCGCGTCCGGCACAAACGCAATCTTGCAGGGCTCCTTTCGCACACGTCCACTTCTATCTCGCACAGGGCTGTTCTAGCCCATTTTTCCCACGAGTGCGAGAGAGACAGACAGAGAAAGAGAGAGAGAGAGAGAAAGCGTATATTTATTAAACGCGCTCTGGGACGTTATCCCCTCAAGCGCACCAAACTCTGAAGATACAGTGAAAAAATTATAAACAAGTGTATTAATTGTCATGTAGATGTGCTCTCGTATGCATGTGTATACAAACACCTAAGTATGTACGCGATACAATAAACATATATATACATGCATGTGTTTGTGTTGATGAGTGTGTATATGGAATATAAGTATTTGGATAGATGTATGTGTGTATAATGTGTGTATGTGTGTGTGATATGATGAGTACAAGTGCAAGAGTTAATATATCGCATGATATAGTATGCTTATGACTAACAAGTATGCCATACTATGGCAGGGTGCAGGATCAGCCGATATTAAGTCACAGTTGCATTGTACTTAATAGATGCTCGTATAGTTTACATTTGAAGTCGCCCGTTGACCTCGCGCAGCGAATGTCCGGCGGCAGGTCATTCCAAAGCTTAGAAGCACTGACTTTAAAAGAGTGCCTGAAGATCTCCGTTCTACACAAGGGAAGAGAGAGAAGATTCCCAGAAGCCCTAGTAGTTCTCAATGTCACAGCTGATTTAAGAGTGAGGCCGCTATATATTAGACTCGGCTGCTGAGTGCAAATAATCTTGAAGAGCAGACATCCCACGAAATACTTTCTTCTGGTATCGATCTTGAGCCAGCGTAGCTCACCATAAAATGGTGTTAGATGTTCATCCCATCTGACATTGAATGCAAATCAGATACAGGCATTTATTGCTCTGTATAGTTGCATGTTGAGTTGATCCGTGATATCCGTGAAAGCCGCACAACAATAGTCCAGGTGCGGGGAAATTAGCGAGACTATCAACCGTGTTTTTAGATCCTTGGGTAGTAAGTTTATAGATAATTTTAACTGGTATAATTTAGTCCGTATGTTCTTGACGACGTTATCCACATGCAAGTTCCAGGATAGAGTATTTGAGATCGTGACACCTAGATACTTGACATAAGTAGAGAGCTGAATCGCTGATCCATCAATGCTGATCGCAGGCAGTCGATCGAGTTCAATTGTATTTATATATCTGGCTGTACCGAAGATGATGGCCTGCGTTTCAGCAGAATTCAACCTTAGTCCGTTGCAGCCAGCCCAATGGACTATGGACTTGATGTCCTCATTCACCTTGAGAATGCCATTTTGCAGATTGGATGGCTCGCAATGCAAATATATCTGCAGATCATCCGCATAAAAGTTATATTTGCAGTGATGCAGGACATTACCGATATCCGAGACATATATGGTGAATAGCAGCGGGCCCAATACGGAACCCTGAGGAACTCCAGCCTTAATGTGAGCCAAGGATGAGATTACGCCCTCAAAACCGTCACGCACAGCATGCATTGCAGAGCGAGAGAGAAGGACGGAGATATGATTAGAAAGAGATAGAGCGATAGCCGCGGGGGGAAGTTCGGGCAGGAGGGAAAGCAGGGGGGTACGTAGGGCGAGACGGGAAGCGCGGCCGGGGGGGAAGCGCGGCCGGGGAGGAAGCGCGGTGAGTGATGCTCGGCTCGATCGGGGGTCGCGGTTCCCGAGTCGCCACCTGCTTTCCCCCCTGCTTTCCCTCGCTTCCACGTCCTCCGCGGTCATCACTCTATCTCTTTCTAATCATATCTGTCCTCCTCTCTCTCACGGACTGTCTCTCTCGCGCTCATGGAAATGGGCTAGAACCGACCATACTAGACGTCCAACGGAATCGACGAGATCGCCCGGGAGATGACGCTCGACTCGATCGAGGTCGCGGTTTCTCCCGGCGCGACTCGAACTTGGCGCGACTCGACCTTAACGCGACTCGTTCCTTAGGGGGGGCAACGGCGATCCCTCCCGCCGCTTCTAGCGCGCGATCCGCTATCGCGATTCTTTAGGGACGCGCGTCGCTTCTATCGCGCGATCCGCGAGCGGACGCCGGGTACCCGGCGTCGAGGGAGACGGAGGATCGTCGGAGGGCGGTCGAACGAAGAGAGGAACGGTTAGCGGCGATACGAGCGCGTTTATCGCTGGAGCGAAACGGCGAATCGTCGAAAGATCGTGGAATAAAGAAAGATCGCTTTTTCGCGCGAGAGGAGGAGCGTTTTTATTGTTTCCTTTTACAACATTTTAGATATATTAATAATACAATATTTGATATATCTTAACGTTTTGGGGAAGTCCGATATCGTGGAGATATCTCGGCCAACCCGATTTTAGCTTAAGGCTGACATATTCCGCGAGGTAGATCGATTCGTCCGCGAATAGCGCGAGATCGCCGAGGGTCTTCGATACGCGGCGGATAGGAGCGTGAAATTCGCCGGGAGAAACGCCGCGTATTCCGTGAGCGTCATGGGCCTACCGTAGCGTCTCCCGGTCACGTCGATCGACCATACATTGCGGCGATTAGCTATGTACAATCGGTGATTCATTATCAGCGCGGCGTCCACGTGCCGCAAAGCGCAGAGATCCGCGCGCGCGGGGTCGATTGGCGCTACGCTTGTCGTAGCGGGCGCCACGGTGGTCGCGGGAGTCGCCGTCGGATAGTTTCCGTCGTCGTGAGACCCGTACAGATTCTGTATAGCGAGAATATCTTCTATGCTCAGCTTAACTGGAAATTGATTCTCGATGTCGGGTATATACGGGAACATTATCGAGTCGTTGAGCATGCTGTGTTGTAGACCCAAAGCGTGGCCGATATCGTGAGTCAGCGTTTGCAACAAATGATGCGTGTTGGGAGGATTTTTATTTAGATACACGTGCCACGGTTCCGAATTGTCAACGTGTACCTCCGACGCGAAATCTGTCGTTCCCGAGGTAAAGAACGCGGGAGCTATGGCTCCGTCGGGGAAACGCCGATATTCCGGCGATTCGCGTAAGTGTGCGCGCCCGTTCGATACGATATCAGTATATCGGGTCGCAGCAAGTCGCGCGCGAAGGTTAGCGACGAATTCACCGCTCATAACGCGAACGCCGCTTCGGCCGTTCGCGAGAGTTCCTCGCTAGCTACCTGAAAGTTCCACGTGAGACGCGTTTTCGGCCATTTTCGCGCGATAGGGCTATACGCGCGATCGGGAATGTCCGCGAGATCGCATCGCGATTTGCGCATAAGGCTAAGCGTAACGGCGTCTAACGCGCTGTTTCCCGATAATTGATAGTATTCCT